CTTTTTATAAGATTGTTGTTTTCATAGACGGCATACAGTACTTGGTTATAAAAGGCACAGCCACATTTGGTACATCAAAGCTTGTTTTAAGAGAGAAGTTAAAACCTCCAAGAAGCTTTGTGCCTATCTTGATGTTTAGTTGAATAATAAACAATTTCCCATAGTGTATACTTCTAAGCTAAAGTTGGTATGCCAACCATGTTATGCTCCTACCACTGCCACAAGGCATTTACCAGGCTTACTTATCATCTCTTTTTACTATATTAAATGTTTTAAGTGAACCGAGTCATCATCAATTATCTTGTGTCCTGTATGGAACTATAATAGACTGGCATTTGAACTAAATGTCTATTTGTCATGAAGTATGGGTCTATATTTCTGATGTGAAGTTCGAAGACAGATTGTTTGTTCATGCTTCGTCTTGTTTGCCCAAGTCTGGTGCTGTCAGATTTTAATTACTGTACTCTGAAGTATTGTTTTGTGATACCAATGAAACTGTCTAAAACAAAAAAAAATACTGTAATAATAATTTCTGAATTACAGCCCACTCACAGTTATATTGAGCATTTTTCTTAAGCTTCATGTTGATAATTTTCTTTTCTTTTTTCTTTTTTCTATTTTACTAACTATATGTGATCAAATTAATAAAATAGAAAACTGGTAACGTTCTCAAAAACTTGGATAATATTGGATAAATACATGTTGGCTTTTATCTCGTTTCATGATTGCCACTTGACAAAAGCCACTGAATTAAGCCCATTAGCAAAAGCCTAAATAGCTATTTCTTTTGTTGCCAAAAGGAAAGAGAAATCTTGAAAAGGTTTTCTTCTTTATGAGAGTGGACTGAACAAGTGTTTAGATTAACTCGAGTAGAGTTAAGAAGAATACAGATACCAAGAGATTGCTTTTGTATGCTCTACTGTACATAACAGTAATAAGCTAAGAACTGATGATTGGTCTTTGTTTTGAAAAAAAAACAAGTTTCGCCTCTTAACATTTTCAAGATCACAATTTTCATTTCAGTTGTTTTTCCACCACCATATATCTGGTGGCAGGGATATATAATGTCTAGTAAATTACAGAAAATAAGTAAACCACATTAAATATAACAATATACGGTAAATCATTTGTAAATAAGCTGTCATAAAACAATTGTTCATTTTTTCAATAATTTAAATGTGTCCCTGGGCGTTGGTTTAATACTTGTTGATGCTATAAATCTTTTGCAAAATCTCTATAGATTGCATTATTACCCCGGCCATTCGATCAGACACCTATGGAACATAATTCCAAACACATTCCATAAATATAACAATGATGGTGTAACATTGAGTTTGTACTGACTTTCAGCGAGATACTGTACAGCTAGCAGCTGGTCTAAATTCCCAAATTAATTCTATCATAATTCAATCTACTCTTAATTCCAAGTGATCCAATAGACCCGTTTTATCCCATAATCAGCTAAGTATTAGTCTATTGTTCTGGATATTATGCCGGGTGTCCAACATTCCGCAGGGTGTCCAGCATTCTGTGGTTGAATACTAAGCTTAAGACGCTTTAATCCTTTGTGACTCAACGTAGCTGTTTACAAACATTAAAGGCATCATTGTGTATAAGGTATTAAAGTACTGTACAAAACAGAAAAAGGACATCTTGTTTTAAAAGGTTTTAATCAACATGCCAAATATTCTCCATCTATAGAGCATGCTTTGTTAAATTAGTAATACTCAGGCCCGTAACCAGGGAGGGATTTGAGGGTGTGGCCAAATCCCATTTTGTGAACAGTTTACAACTATAGTGGTATTTTATAACAACCTTTTTTTTTTTTTATTGAAGAAGCACTTTTGAGTTAAACTTGGCATATAGGAAACCCCCCTTCATATGAACCTGGTTAGGACCTGATACTACAGTACATTACTGCTTACTGTATGAGTCTAAACCCTAATCATTTTCATTCTACTTGTCATAAGAAACCTCGGAGATTGTTCTGTATTTCCACGATCAAGCAAAATCTTCCTGCAAACTTGGACGTCCAAATGTTTGCATGTTCTTAGTCCTTTTGAAGTTAGTACAGTACCTGGGCTTGTGTAATACTACACACAGCAAAATACAATGTAGCAAAGAGTATAAATAGAACAAGAGAGCCAACAACGCTCATTGAGAGCGTAAAAAAACGATACGCCCTACGCAGCTAGTGTAGGACGCCAACTAACGCTTGTATATGTTTTATTACCCAGTACTCCACCGCGCACGGTCGGTTTGTCTGTTATCTGTTCTCCACAAGATACTGTACTTTCGTTTTCTGCTTACTGAGTTTATAGCGGGCGTACTTCTACCGTGCTGCGCGGCGCTGCACTGGGTAATAAAAAGAACATACAACCGTTAGTGGGCGTCCTACACAGGCGTAACGTTTTTACGAACGGGGCTTTGCTCTCTTGTTCTATTTATACTCTTTGAATGTAGTCACTTTTAGTGATTTCTCCCAACTTTTGGAACTGGGAATGGTGATCTACGATCGGTAGAAGGCAACATCTTAAGGCGAATTCAGAAATTGTATAACCATAGGCCTACAGCCCGACGTGATTTTTTTTACTTTGTTGAATCTGTGTGAATTAAGCGCAGACATGATAAGTCTGCATTGGGGACTGTTCAGCATGAATGTACTGGTACTTAATCTTAGGTAACCTTGCACTGTAATTATTAACCTACTGTATTACTGTATAACAATGTTTATATACAATTCTTTTCTTCCACTTCAAGACCAGACTTTATTATGTATAGACTTTTGTTCTTAGCTCATCTACCTTTTGACAATAGCTGAGGTTACTGCATATCTTTGGGTGTTTCCTTCTGATCTAAGGTCAGAAGTTCACACATAAAATATATTCCAGGAGCTTTGTCACGTCTGAAATCCATTATGTACCATACATGATGCTTTATTTCCGTTCTGCTATTGGCCAGACAACCGTCTACTTGATGAGATGAAATATTGTTTAATGTATACATATTTTAATGGGTTATAATTAATCGTTTTGTCATTTGGCATATTACAAGCTTTTCCCATTCATACCTGCCATTATAAAGTTCCATGGACAATGACACACCAGGCCTAGTTACTATAGGAACACAGCCCGGCTTGAGATAAGCCACCTAGTTCAGACTGGCAGGTGGATAAACCCGGTGAGTTGAGCCGGGTTTATCCACCTAGTCTGAACTAGGCATCTGTGTTCTAATAAAATGTGTTCTTATAGAAAAAATGTGTAGATGGTCAAAATAGGTGTAGACTAGATGTCTGTGTATGGTATAACTTATCCTAACTCAACATTTTTAGTTGTCCTTGTAGAAAACAAAAAATGCAAATACAAAAACTTCAAGTACCAGTATTTGGTTTTCTTAGATACATTTTCAATTTTTGTACATTTCTGTGTTTCGTGCTAATTATATTTTCTATACGATTGTAATGTAGACATTTTATACCATGTAGTTACATCAGCGTATGACTTTTTATCTACATTTTTTCGTGCAAATCTCCTTTGGTTGTTTAAATTAAAATATATATATTTTTATTCACCACCACTGGAATCATTCATGTAGGTTCTTTTCCGTAATATTGAATTGAAACCTATTTTGGTTACATGTTGTCCAATTTCCAGCTTAAGTCCACTATATAAAGCTTGCATTGTGTACGGTAGATTTGATTATTTTTAATTTTGTTAAGCAGAGTATTTGATGCTTTTTGAGGTGCATTGGAGCTTGCTCGTAACCTTTTACCTGCAAGAGCGAACATCCATCTTGTTACTTATTACAGCATGAAAGTGTGAGAATGAACTGGTTACTGTCGCTAAATTTCTCCCCATTTATCGCTTCGTTAAACATCATTAAGCAAATTTCATAGGAATGAAATATGCTATGAAAAGGTATTTTCAGTTTCATATTCAATAATGAATAAGCTGAAATAAATTTATCTTAGTGCCATATAGGCAATGGCATACTGGTAGTCTTATATGATACATAATAATAAAAATAATAATCACAACATAAAGCTAATATTCAGCCTTTTAAAATTTCAAATGTTTCAATATTTTTAATAATGCAATAAAAATAATTATTGTATAGTGCATTTAAGTATCTTAAGTAAATGTAATTATAATTTATACACATAACATAAATAAATATTTTATAAGTAATGAAGGGTAATGTAATTATTTTGTTGAAGAGAGTAATGATATTTAACCATTATTATTTATTATATATACCGTATGTGCAGCTACCTTCTATGTTCTTGTCAATACAAATATTAATGAATAAATATTGAAAGGCCAAGCACAAAAAACATACTAGTATATAAATATTCTCTCATTCAGACTTTATATGTCCCAAAATTGTAGACTTATTTGACCATCTGGTTTTTCAAATGAAATCGTTGTGCTAGTGATATTTTTTGTCAAGGAATCAGATTTACACAGGACGAAGCAGAGTATTATGAAAATTGCCACTATAAATAATTGGCCTAATATTCCATGAAAAAGAATTACTGCAATGCTGAGAGAGAAAAAAAAAAATTGAGCCAGCGGCAAAAAGATGAATAATTTGAAATTGAGATTTGGCCTAATTGTAAATGTAATTTTCGAATTATATGCTTAGACATTGTATTACTAAATTAGGCCCGTAACCAAGATTTCTTAAAGGGATTTTCTATGAGAACAAGAGGATTAGGGGTGCTAGATGTGGGATCAAGGTGAAAGCTCTGGTGGGGATAAAGCTGAAACATGGTTCATTTCATCACTATTTTGATGTTATTTAATGCGACAGAAGAGGGTGGTTAGCCTCGCTCGGAAAGTGGGTTCAACTATTCCATCGTTACAGTACAACACCCATTCTGTTTACCATACTGGTTATGAGCCTACATATTTCAATTTCAATTTCAATTTCTTTATTTGCTACAAATGCCATCAAGGGCCAATATCCGCTAAAACAAACACAAATCACAATGAACTAAACATAACAGTTACATAACTGCATTTCTAACAAGCATTATTTTTTAACAACCATATAATTTCATTATTAATATAATCATTATTATTATTATCATTATTATTATTATTATTATTATTATTATTATTATTATTATTATTGTTATTATTATTATTATTATTGTTATTGTTATTATCATTATTCTTATTATTATTATTATTATCATCATCATCAGTTATTAAAATATATGTATCTTGAGGGCTATTTTGATATCATTTTTGGAAGAGGAAGAGGGGTCAAGTAAAAGAGATTGAGCGAGCGTGAGCGAGTAAGGTAGAGTGGAGTGAAGAAAACGAGAAGTATGTCCAGAGAATGGGAGACGAGCAGAATTGCGGTTGTGACGAAGGGACATTGACATAGTACGAACAGGGGGGAGAAAAGAGTGCAAAGGATGATTAGGGGACTGAACAATGTCACAAAGAAATTTAAGTAAAAAATATTGCTGTCTTGTAGAAAAAGGAATAATTCTGAAGTAGGAAAAAGTATCAAGATAGGTAGAATATGTGGCATGAACAGAAAGAAGTTTAGCAGCATGAAGTTCGAGACGTTTAATTTGACTGAGTTCACATAGGGGGAGAAGACCAAACGAAGAACAAGAGTATTCAATAGCAGGCTGTATATAAGATTTGTACAAAAAAGCGATAGTATGAGGATCAATGGAATAAGAGACAGATGGCAACCTTTAGTCGTTCCAAGGAGTCAGCATCAGTTCTAAGAATCTTGGTTTTATAATTATAATTAAACTTATTTCTTTCATTTTGCAAAATAATATCAAATGAAACTGCCTTATGGTCACACCCATGAATCCAATTAAATACATGAACGTTTCTAACGGATTGATGTCCACTTAAAACAATGTCCAATATATTATTTTCCCTGGTGGGCCGAGACACAAACTGGTGTAAGTCATTTGCAGATTTGAATAGTGAGCAATGTTCCGAAGACGAATCATTGAAATCCCCACATATCACTAGCTTAGAGTTGTCAAACTGGAGTCCCAGTATGCAATCTTGCAACGCATCATAACACAGCTGTTTGTTACCACCAGGTGGCCGATACACAGATAGAATGTAGATCGTTTCTTTGTTGACATTAATTGAAATCAGTAGATATTCAACATTACTATCACAGGATTTTTTAATAACAGCATACGGTATTATGTATTAATTTAATTATAATGTATTGAGTAGTGGTCAAATTTCATTATGATAATATTTATTTATTCTTCCTTTGGATAGAGTTTTCAGTAACACAGTACTGCTTTTCAAAATAGTCCAGTTTTCTTAACCATCATAAAGACATTTAATAAATTTATGAATAATGATAACAATGATAATAATTCTAAAAACAGATATTTTTTGAATTTTATTGTTAACAAAAAGTGCCATAGTCACTGTATTTGAGATATTCTAGTTATTATTAGTTATTAGTTATTTGTTCAAATTATTTATTTTGTTTATGGTACAGCAGATGTTGTGAAGACAGTTCTTTGTAACATATTTATTCAAGAACTTTTAAAAGGGCTGATTTATGTGAATGTCAATACTAATAAAAACAATCTAGAAAACGAGTTGATTTAGATTCTCCATATGTTATAGTTCCCTTAGCTCAAGGACATGTTGTTATTAATGCTTTTACTAGTTTATATATTCTCATCATCATATCAAGGTGCAAATATTCATCCATCTAAAAATATAAATCCTGATCTTTCTAATCATGTTGTTGGATATTATAGAGTGTATTATCAATAACATGTTTTATAAAAATAAGTATTACAGTAATATTTAATTCACCTGAAAAATCTTAGTATTTAAGTGCCCCTTTCCCCCAGTTTTAAAATATAAAAAAAATCTGTATCTTATTAGCTATTTCCGTTGTTTCTTCAAAAATCCCTTCAGTGTCTTAGAAAATTCAATGTACAACATATGAAAAACCTTTTTTGCTCTAGAGTCCTGCTTTAATAAATATCTAAACTGAATCTAAAGTGCTACTTTCGCTTTACTTACTCTACAGTATATCACAAATATTCACTGGAACATTATATTTAAGAGCAAGATTTTTTTTATAAACCGACTTCATTCTTCTAGCTCATTTTATTTATTTGTACAAAGCGCAAGGCTCCAGCATTATCCACTTTTACAAATGTAGCTTATTATTGTTGTATTAACTTTAATGCACCGATACATCTAAATATGAATAATGGAGTATATAATGTACCAAATATCTGGTAATTTAGCATGGATGAATTATGTTCACTTGGTTAAAATACTTGATTAGTATTTGAGTAGGTTTTTTTCAGAAAAATAATTAGTGAAAATTAAGTGTAAATAATTAGATTATAGTCTGAACTAACAATTATCATTAAAGACTTTTTTTTATCACGATGCAAACTACAATTTTTCTGATTTACAATCGTTTTATTAAAATTTCTGTATAATGTTTTAACTTCCAAATTTACACCATGTAAATTTTCTTTCTCTTTTCTTCTGTTCTTAGAATATTCAAATTTAATTTCAGGAAAAATATAACAAAAACATGATGCTGCCTTTCAAGGTTTGCCAAAAATGTTTGAAAACTATCAAGTGGCTCTCCTGACAGCATCATTACAAATTAAATAGCATGCAATTATTTGTATAACATTTTTTAATAAGAAAAAAAATAATAATTATAAAAAATAAATAAATAAATTTTAAAAATAAAAATAAAATAATTAAATAAATAAAAATAAATAAATAAAAATATGATTGTGAGAAGAAAATTTTGGTGTGATATTACTCAGACAATCAAAAAAATGATTGTCATAATGAACAAATTTTTTGGCCTTCATAATAGAAAAAGTAATAACTGATTATGATAATCCTAAATTATTACAAAGAAATTAAAGATGTACTGTATGTTGATACAAAGAAAATCTATATTTTTAAAATATTTGTTAAATCAATATGATGGAATTGTAGCTTTTTTATTTGTTGTCAGAGTTACTGTATATGCTTTTAAATGAATTTCAATTTATTATGTTTGACCTTTCAAAAAATATGTTGCATTTTCAAACACATGAAAATCATGAAAATATATTACAGTATATGTTCACTTGCTCTCTCATTATTTCTACATCATTTATTCTACATTATCGTTCGCCAATGTCATCTTTCATAAATCAGATATGAATATGGAACGGACTGAGAGTCATATTTTTCTGAATTTGTATCGTTTGATATCTCTAGAGATATTTTCACTCGTTGTCTTCACGACTCTGGTTTCTTTTTTGGTTTTTTTCTGTGTTTGTAATGTCAAAAATAATTTTTGTTAATTTTATGTTGCTGTACTGAATATTACTAGTCTACAGTGCAGTATGACTAGGTATAATCCCTAGAGAAAAGAGAAAATGCCTTGTATTTCTTGGCAAAAGGCAAGATATAAATTCCTGTAATGTTATCATCATTTATAGTGTGTATTTTTTTCTTATTTGTAATATTTGTCATTATTGGTTAGGAGAATAAATGTTTTATTGTAATTTAAATAAGGCACTATAAAAAAAATATTAGTTTATCACCCTATCTAGGCTGAAAAATTGGGAAAGAGGGAAGGAGGCTTTTTAAAAAATATTTCTTGTTTTGCTAAAGCCAAATATCACCCTTGGGTTGTTTTCTAGTGCATTTCAAAATAAAACATGATTGAGATAATAGTAATACAAATATTATCTACTAGGTATTTAATTTTTAAAAATGAAAAAAAAAAATTTTCATTTAAAAAAATACTCTTTTTCGATTGGGCCTAATGTTCGAAAGATACATCTTCAAATTTTTTCTCCTTTTATTAATATTATCACCATTATGTAATCAAATTGATTGTAGTAGTAGTAGTAAAACTTTATTTATTCACGAAGAACAAATCAACAAATACATGCTGTTTTTCATTATGGCCGTGAGATACCTTACTTACAATTAACAAATTACACATAAAGGTACATCATAAAAAGCAAAAGTTAAATGCAGAAATTAAATAAAATAGATACAAAATATAATTATTAAACAGTACTGTATGCCAAAGTCAACAAATTAATAAAATAAAAGTACTGTAATCTATACCTAACAAAGGCAAAATAAACTATGGAAAGAAGAAGATCCATTCCACAAAAGTAAACAGAAAATTACAAAAAGGAATGTAAAATATAAATAAAACAAGGCAAGAAAACATCAAAATAGGGATTTATACAATGTTCATACTACTGTATTTAACAATATTTGTCAATTTTTTATATTATTGTTAATATTAATGCGTTATCACTTCCCTTGTTGTTGTCGTTTGTTTATGGCGCTTTGAGACAGCCATTAATATGTGCTATATAAATCCAATTTACTTTAAGTACAGCGTGCTATGAGTCTGCATCAATATGGCTTTCAACACAGTGACAAATTGTTTGTCAAGCAGTATTAAGATCAAAGATTATATCTCGCAAGTTAGTGATCTAAATTGAATGAACATCAGGAATCCGAGGCATCCTAGGACTTGCATTCTTAACCAATCATAAGCGCTTGACTCGGATACATTTCAAAACTGCATATAAATTTCCGTTTAATGAAATACATAGATGTTTTATTACATACATTATAGATACGATAATAATACAACCCTTACATTTTCTTTGTAAACGTGATCAATAAACTTGTTTTTTCAAACTCTCTCACAAGAGAATGCTTATACATAACCTAGACACAGCACAGCATGTTTATCGCAATCAATTAACACAGAACGCCCAGGCTTAGTCTAATTGCCCTGCTGTAGTCGAAGGCCTATGACTGTAGGCTATGCTAGGCATATTTTTATACCATTGGTTGGCATAATATAGGCCAGTTAACACTAGAGATTATCAGCTAGGTTATGATCTTGGTTCTGCCTCATCTAATGTGTATTTTGGGTCGTCACAGTGTTATTTTCAGAGGAGTACCACCTAAGTTCCTTCTTGCGTAGGTCGATGTTTTTGGAGATTTCAAGCTGAGAAAAGTCATTGCAGCTCATGTTATATTCTTGGTTTTCATTGTTTAGTTAGTTCACTCTATCATTTATTCTCACCAAGATTATATTATTATAGTTGTGGTAGTATCATCTTTCTACTTCATCACAGATATTGTGTACATTATTGTCTATCTAAAAATGTTTTTTTTTCCTTTCAAGATACAAGATAAAATTTATTGTCTCCATTAAAAACCGAGGAAATTAAAAAAAAGCTCGCAAAAAATTACAATTACAGGAGTAGGCTACTATTGTATGTTTAGTGGTCATCAATTAATTGGGAAGTGGGATGGGGGGGGGGCTAATAGAGTTAATGGATCATTTCTGTGGGCCAAAGTATGTACCACATTCTTCATCACCAGGTTGAGTTTTTTGTATACAGATGACAGCTTTAGATGGCTGTAAATTGCACTTTCACATCATGGGATAGCGTTCCACTTTGGCTGCCTTTGGAGAAAATATTAATTGCATATTATTTTCCTATAATAATAAGTAATGAAATGCATTTATGTTCAAAAACAAGTCATTTGGTTATGTTTTATCTCAAAAACAAATCTCCCCTTAAACTGGACAGATCCTCTTTTGTAAAAATATAGCCACACATTGGTTGGGCCACAGTTGTTAATGTCACTGTTGAGCTTGCTAATGTTATGTTCTTAATCACATCTTATTTTGGGGAAACATCAGCATCTTAGGATAATACCTTGGGGTGGATACTGATTGCATACTTATTATTGTTATTGTACAGTCGTGCAAACTATGTATGTTATTAAGATAAAAAATATTTACAAAAGTTAAGTATGATTTTGCAAAAACAATAGGAAATTTTAATAAATGCTCAACTATTGTATTGGTCAGTAAACTTATCTGACCATCAGTTACAGTAATTACTGCACACAATAAACTCAATTGCATCCTGTACGGTCACTGATTGTCCAATTGAGTGTAATTGATAATTTACTGTGGCTTCCTCTTGTTTGCAACATAAGGCCGTTTTCCACTAGGCGAATTTATTCGCGCGAATCAAACATTTTTACCCATACACATGCGCAAGTAAGAATCTTGTGATGAAAATTCAACTACACATGCCTATAGGCAATAATTTTTTATTCATGCGAATAAATTTGTCTTTGGAAAACAGCCTTTATATGAATGAAATAACATTGGATAATGATAAAAATAAAGAAAAATAATGGTTTTTAAGTCATGCCTGAATAATTCTTTTTGTTCAGAAGACATACAAGTAGCAAGAAACTGATTATTATTATTATCATTCTCATCATTATTATGATGTTGTTTCTCTTTATTCATTGCCTGTCTTTTTATACTCCAGAGTTAACTGCATGTTTACTGTCCTCCATGGTATAACTTAGGAGTTGTTCTGTCATATAGAGAAATTCTAATAATTCAGAGTAATGATTATTTTCTAGAGGTCAAAGTTTAATGAGTTGAGCAAACAGTGGTTGTCAATAATGTCTGAATTTAGTTATTCATTTCCACATTTGATTTTAGATACCGTATTAAAGTAGAAGTTTACTTTTTATGATCGTAGATACAGTAATTATCAAATATTTCTGTAAAATTAGCTAAAAACAGAATTTATCATAAAACAATTTTTACAATGACTCTGTCATCTTTTTATTTTCATTTTAATTTCTCTTTAATTTTCAGTTGTTTATGTTCTCTGCATTACTGCTATATTGTACAGAAAATAATTTAACATTTTTGAAAAAACTTTTTTTTCCTTGCAACATTTTCTGAATTCTTACATGATAAGTATTTTGCAACAATTTATATTACATCTACCAATAGGAATTTGTATTTTAATGTGAAAGTTCTAAGTTTGAAATTATTAGGATGTATATTGATGAATTCTTTTATTATTATTTTGTTCTCAGGGTTATCAGGTAGTGGAAAGGTACTTTTAAAGGGCCCATCAGATCTGTCGGAAGTAACGGAAGGTGTCAAAGTGGCACTCCTTTGTAAAATAGATGGTAATCCTGAACCCACTCTCCAGTGGTACCGTGATGGCGAGCTTTTAACACTCGGCAACAATTATGAAATCAACGGTCCCCGCCTGAAGATTAAAAGTATGACACCTGATGACAATGGAGTATATGCCTGTAGGGGAAGAAACCGGCTTGGAGATGCCTGGAGTGTTGTGGAAAATGTTACCTTACACATTGATGGTATTTTTTAATATCCCAATTTAATATTTTAATAAATAGTTGTATATTATACACCTAAATGTTGTACATCAAACTTCTTAAATATTAACAGTGGCATATACAAGGAAAGGTAGAGTTTCATGTTGGGAGGTGCATAACTGCCCAATAAACTTATATTATATTTGCTAAACAAAAAATTACACTTAATATTTAGAAATTACCTCATATCATGTTATTTTGCCAACTAGCGTTACTTTTCATAATAATCATTGTGCCCTATCAGCCCCCACGGCAATACTCAGGGGTGGCGCCAGGATTTTCCCGACCGGGGGTCCCCGATGAGGGGTCAGATTTCCCTGATGAAAGCAAAGTGGGCGTAGTCGAACTTCGATTAAATGGTGTTGAAAATGGTGTGAAATTTTGACAATTTAGGGGTTTCAAAGGCTTATTTAATCAATTTTTTAGCCTACTAATATGTAGAAGATACATATAATTTTTTTTTTCTCCCCGACGAATATTGCTTTTTCTCCCCGGTGGAAGAGAGCCAGATCTCCCTGACGGGGGCCCTGGATCTCCCAGCCCCTCGCTGGTGCCATCCCTAGCGATACTTCGAGATACGCCTTGAATATTTGCATCAATAACAAATTATTTACACAACTGAGAAATCAGATATTGACTTAATGCTTAATTAAACCATAAGAAATACTGAAAGTTGTTTTAAATGTTACTGTCTGCCATATATTTCAATTGTAAATGCAAGTCAGTGCACTGATGCAGGATTCATCAATGTTATTTTTCCATAGACTATACTCTTTAAATCCGAGATACGCCTTGAATATCTGCATCAAATAAAACATAAGAAATACAAAAAAAGGTGTTCAGTTTTACTGTGCACTAATGTAGGATCCATCATTATTTTTCCATACACTTTTATTTCATTTCACATTAAACTAATTCACTTGGCATTAATTATTAAAGAACCAAATGGTAATTTGGGAATATTGAATTCCTTTGGAAGTCTTTTGATTTTCAACTTAACCTATAGTGTGTCGATAATTGAAATTCTGAACTTTATATTACTTGGTATGTACTTTATGCTCAATTGATTTAGTAGTCAAGTTTGAAACTTTCCAGGCTTTCCATAAAGCTTTCTCATATCCTTTGGGTATCAGCTTGAATATACACGTCTTTGTTCAGCTAACACACTTAAATGATACACAAATGAAATATTAAATCTCTTTGTAGATTTGTATTAGTTTATTTATTTTTTTCTATATTCCTTGTAAATATTTTAAAATTAAATTTTAATACTATTACTAAGAGATATTGTTCAATATCACAAGTCAGCTGCAAACATAATGTAAAGATATACTTACTCACTTTACTGCCGTTCAGCCGAGTAGTCATACGACTTATCCACCCCGGCTACTTTGCTGATTTCCTCAATAAACTTTCTCCAACTTCTCTGTCGTTTGCACGCTCTCGTATTTTTACCAGATCCTTTATCTAGGCTTGTTGGGTGGCCAGTTGCAGGATTCACCTTTTTAAGCGCCTTTATGTCATTATTAAGAGTGATTGGTTAAGTTGTAATAGGTCTGCCTTTATATTTTTGGAATTCACATTTTTTTAAATAATAGTCGATTGCAATATTTGCTGGTGTATGGGGATGTGAAGATATATGTTTAAAGAAATGAAATTAGACATTATCTTTTTATTAAGAATTAATTTTCCTCACCACTACTGTAAATAGACATACAACAAGTAATACTGTTTGATATTACATAAAACCCTAATGTAAAAGTGTCTGGTTAATATAATAAATTTTATGTATATTTACGAATTTTTTTTCTTAAATTATCAAAAACTTAATTATCTTTATATGTTGCATTTCAATTCAACACAGGTCTAAACAATTTATTGTTTTTTGCTTTATACATTTTTAAACAAATAATTTAGATCATTATATTAAAATATTTCTAAATTCATATTCAACAATTTTAAAATATTTCTTCTGTGCTAAGATACCAGACTAGCTAAAGTGGTTGTTACTCCTGAGGATGTGACCGTGGTAAGAGCAGATAAAGCGTTACTTGACTGCAGCTGTTCTGGAGATCCTGAGCCAACCCTCGACTGGTATTTTCAGGAGTTTGGTGCAGAAATGCCTGATACAGAACCACTGACAAATAAAACCCGGTAAGTAACTTCATTCAGGAATTAAGATGCAAACATGGAATGAGCAAAATATATTGAGCAATATGTACTTTTTCTGTTTTGTCTTTTGGAGGACATTACCGGCGTAATTAATTTTTTACGTTTGTACATCTTGCCAATATGACATTAATATTTGCCATTTCTTTTAGCCAATCCATATTCCTCAATGGCTCTTTGTCCATTGATCAAGTTAAGCGTAGTCAAGCCGGTACCTATGTGTGTACCTGTTCCAACGGACGCTCCACGGATACAACTCATGCCATTCTGACTGTTGCAAGTAAGTGCTTTTATTCATTATTTATTACTGCCTTAACTCATTTAAGAATTGTTGTTTTAGTAACAATGTGAAGTCTGAAGCTTTATAAACCAATTCATTAATAATTTGATAATAATAATAATAATGAGTCTTTTGTAGCAATCATTTTGAGAAAGGCTCAAAGATGGCAAGAAAAATTAAAAGAGCAGAAAAATATATTACCTGAAACATCAATTTTATAATAACTAAATTTAGTATAAGTTTAATTACTAAATCATATATTTGAAACTTAACCAAAGAAATACCACCACTTTAACCCCTGATCAGGGCTTACTTGTTCATCGCCCACAGGAGCTCTATAATGCTAGTATCTGACTAGCCAACTCGCCTAATTATGACAATGAAACAGTTTATCAAAAAACATTGGTATGGGTTTATACCAGAGTTTATGTTTACACGATGATACTACTATTCACTATGTTCAGTTTCAAATTAGCTTTGTATTAAAATCCGTTGTTAGATTGTTAGTTGATGTTTTATAAAAGTTGTCTCGAGTTTAGGCCATGTTTCCGCAGTATTTATTATCTGATAAATTATTGGAAAGCGGCCATCTTGTAATTTTTCGCTGCGGAAACACGTCCCAAATTTTTTGATAAATTTTCGTAAAAGAATCGGATAATTTATAGGAAATAGCTCCAAATGCAAAAATAAATAACCTTTGACTGATGTCAAATCACGGGCATGAAAAGAATTATTCTGGGTAGTTAGCTTCTAAAGAAACTAGTAGTTAGAAGGCATAGGGGCCTAGGCGTAGTATTTTAAACTCTTGATAACAAAAAAGTGAGTAAATTTTCCGTGTTATTAGGTATACAAAAAAAAGCCCGAAACGACAGCATTCGTCGTCAATGGTGCCTGGCTGGGCCTAGTTAGGTCTATCCCTACCTATCGTTTATTGCACAGTAAAGCACCTTGAACAAACCTGGCATTCACTTTCGTCTTCTTTTCAATCCCTTATATAGAAGTACAATACAATTACTAATGGACATAAACTTTGGATTTTTTTAATGCATCATCATCATTGGTATCCATCAGTCTTGTCAGGCTATGGAGAAGCGCCTTAGCTGGATGCAGTGAATCGTCAAAGCCCATGTTTGTTCTTATGCCTTGTGGCTTAAGTTATATGGGGATCCACCACTTAACAGTTAATAATAATAATAATAATACACATTTTTAAAGCGCCTATTAAAGCAAACAAAACTGGCTTGAGGTTCTAAACCCAGAGGAGGACTTTTCACCTTAGCTGGATGCAGTGTTTCGCCAGAGCCCATGTTTGTTCTTATGCCTTGTGGCTTAAGTTATACAGGGATCCACCACTTAGCAGTTGTAGGTTAGCTTGGAGTACAGAGGTTCTAAACCCAGAGGGGGACTTTTCACCATGAAATATGAAAATGGAATGAATGTAGATGAATGAGTAGATTGAAACAGTTTCCATGGTGATAGCATGCAATGGTATAAAAAATAAAAAAGAATAACGTATGGTTAGGACCCACTATGCAAGTCCAGTGCAAAGCACAGCTTTGTGTGTGTATGTGTGTGAGATGCATCATATCCACCATGAAGATCCCAACCCCCATGAAGATCCCTTGTTTAATGCAGTGCGCTACAAATGCCATAGATCTAGTTATTATATATATGTGCAATAGTGACATCAGGTCAGGAAATTACCACCTTTATTGGCCCAACCATCTTTGTTCAAACTCTTGTCACCCTGCATGTAAATATACTTAATGGATTGTTTCTGGCTAACCATTAATTATTGATTCCGTAATTCATCATTTGTGTATGTACTTAATTTATGTACCGTATTCTAAGTCCGGATCCCAGTTTGCTCAGCTGGTGCACTTAAAGATGAATGATCTTATCACTTAAAGTAGCATTCTAATGATAGCAAGTTAGCATTATGTACAGTAAAATGAAGCTGCATCATAGTCAATCATATGTTTGATTTCTAAGGATGTTTATGTTTAAATGGCATAGAAGGATTTAAGTTATTTCAACAATTATGTTATGAGAAAGGCACTTTAGTAATAATTAGTTGGCAGCTTACACATAAAGGTCAATAGCATCATTCATGAATAACAAGAAATAATTACTATGACTCATTGGGTAAGTGCCCAGCATTTGACCTAAATGTCATAGGTTCATACTGTATACTCAACATTTTCTTAGTGGATATCATTGCATATAATAAAGATAGTACTATTTTGAATTTTTCTACAGGAATTTTATTTTAAACGTAGTAGCATCTCTATGATTCTATTATTCATTATATAAGAAATAAGAACACATTTTTACTCTGTATTTATGGTCAATGCCAAGCTTAAGCCTTTGTTCAGTCCAGTCTGATTGCTACCATTGTCTCCTTGAGATCATAATAATGTTTGACCACAAAATAAAATAATTTCTTTTGCATACAACTGAAAACCAAATTAATTGATTTTGAATATGAAATATGCAATGAATTATTTTTTCCATAAATGAACTTGCAAGGTCAAGGACAAAAAGTGTACACTTGAATATATGATGCAGGTTGAAAGTATAGGAAATGAAGATGATAATTTTTTATATTTTTTTTATTTTTAAATGTCATATTTATTCTGCAATATAGTAAGTGGCTTGCCACTTTATGGAAGCAAATGATGCTCTATAAATGCAAGTCTCTTTATGAGGCTTAGCATCTCGAGTTGTTTATTTCTCCTAAGTAAAAAAAAAACTAGATTTTACAACCTGGGATTGAAAGGCAAATATTTTTACCACTAAATGTTACCAGCTACACCTCCAAATTAAAAAATTTGAATTCTTCTATTCAAAAACACATCGAAATCGCAGCCTTATGGCTGAATTTCACGATATAAAAACAGTAAAAAAAAGGCCTACAGAAATAAAATGACATTAAAGTAAAAAGATAAATGTGAACATTAATTAACTAAAAGTTGAAAATAAAAAAAAATTAATCGGACATTTAAAAAGCATCAAACATTGAAAGTGAAAATGAATAAAATTATAGACAACATTAACAAGTTAAAATTTTATAAAAACATTAAAAATTCACAGAAAAATTAAAATTATTTAATATACCAAATCATCAAAACAGCAAATATAAATTAACTTATGTGTTAGCATTACATTGTATTATATTTTTGAGTATGTAAGGTGAAGGTTATCCTGTATTCATTAATGAATGTAGGGGAATGGGCTATTATCAGCATGGTACTAAGCCTCTGCATTGTGTGGGTATACTGTAGTATACGTTGAATATTAAACTAGTGAAGTTACTCAAAATTGTTAAATTCAAAATGAACTGTAAAAACAGATGACATTTTTTCCCTAATGTTTCCTCCAACTGGCAAAGAGCTGAAATGATTACTTAGCATATATATACCTTATTACTGTGCAAAACCATTTAATGCAAATACATCTAACTCTTCTTTTAAAGAATCTATAATGTTCTTAACTCTCTCAATGCAGAAAGAAAATTACCTAAAATGAATCTTAATAATATTTGGTTAAGCTAGCAAATACTAGCATTGTATAAATAAACCATGGGGCATAGTCTAATTGACTAAATCTAAACAATTATACTCTTTAATAAACTTGAAAATTAAATTTTATTTGATTTATATCTAAATAATTTATTAGCTTTAATTGAAAAATATACTAGAACATATTTTATTTGCATAAATATCAGACACATAAATAATACATTTCAAATTTTCTTTGCATTGTCCCTGATTTTGACTGGTACAGTAATTTATATAAGGTTTATTGTAGTAAAAAGTCTATAATTCATTATTATTTGAAGCAAATCACGTCTGCCATTATATGCCAACCGCTCAGTTGGAGCATAGGTCTAGTGCTTACATTAATAATCAATTATAATATACAGTGTTGTTGTTAGATTACCTCTTTTGGAAAAGAGACAACAACGGCACTCATGGCACCAAGGTTTGCCTCATCCCAAACAGGAATGGGGGAATTCTCCTGGATCCCCCCCCCCCCCATGGTGCTGCTACTGGTCTGATCAAGCTGTCTGTTTATTTGACAAACCTTAACTGAATGTTTTAAATTCCATTTTACATTTCCATACATCTGTACACTAGACTTTTCTGTATTTTGCGCTTTACAAATTTAAAACCATTATACGATTATGAATTTGGCTCATTCATTTGCATCCGGAAATTTTAGCGTGATTCGAACCCTGACCCAGGGATTAGAAAGCATGCAATCACCTTGTCCCTAAGCCACAGTCTATTAAATAATATAAACCACATGTATGTTGTTTGTCACTTCATTCCCCTTGTCAAGAGTCTGCTTGTCAGTTCATATCAGATTCATTTTATCGTAAGGCCACTCAGCTTGTCAGAGTCTGTGACATTCTCAGCGTCCACACATCATTCATTGTTATTCAAAATCAGATATGGCAAACATTTATTAGACTATTGCAAAAAAAAATGAATTATTTCCTTATTTTAGGTCTACCTTTAATAGAGGAAAATCTTAATGCATGATAAAATAAAAGTAATATCCTGGACTCAATAACTTCTAATTGGCTAGGATGAGCTATACTGTATTTGCTACATCTTGCTACTCACCACAATGGTCTACCTATGTTTCACTAGACTTGTTCCGACGGTGTAAGTTACACCAATGATATCGTAGTTATCGAAGAGGCTGACACCAACCGTATGAACGGGATCACCGGATAGAAAACAAGCACTTCACCCCGCAAGCTAACACCGACAAAAGACCATATTGGCAAGGCTCTCATCCAATAGAATTTTCTGTTACCGTAATTGACTTGCCACATGTTGATTGCAATAACATCTGTAGCTTGACCACGGTCTCGTTTTTGAGGCAATTCTACTAGGCCTAGTTGCTTCATAATATCAACCAAGCATCTTTTTGAGTTGTTTTTAACTTCATAATTGTCAAAAGTAATCCAAATAAAACATTACAGGACAAATATATATTATTACCGTTCGTTCTAAACTACATATAAATTTTCATGTCTTTTTTTGGGAAATCCGCAAAATACCATGGTAGTTCGTTCACTGTGTATTAAGATAGGGCTGAACAAGATACGGTGAACGCCGGTGAGATACTGTACGTACATGATTCTGAAATTACAGCTAATATGGTAGTCTTATCTTTAGCCACTGCAATTCACACATTCTAGCAAGAAGAACCACGAACAACGTTCGTACTCGCATAGTACATTTGGAGGCTTGGGTTATAAATTCTGCCGAAAATCTCCTAAAGGGTAGGTGAGGGAAAAAAAACATCAGTTTTATTTCGATTTTCTGAATGCTCTACCAAGTGAAGATGAAAAAATTGGATGTTAAACATATTTTGCCTTTTATTTGTTGATAGTTGGGATGGTCTATACTGCCTACCCAAATCAAAGCAGGCCTAGCCCAGACAGGCCCTCGCCTAATGTAATTTCTATTTTGTCGTCTTTGTTTTATTGAAACATCATGAGATCAATAGAAATAATTTTAATCTTCAACTTTTTTATATCAGTTTATAAGCGCTATAACTATCCGCTATAACTCTTGTGTAGACATACGATGACAATTTGATGCGAATTTGACTGGATTTGTCATTAACTTGCATCAGGTGGGAGTGATCGTCGGAACATTGCTACTGTGACCGTACTTTCTGAGATAGTATTAAATTTTTATTGGTAGTGTCATTTTGACCTGTGGTTAGTGACATTGTTTTTACATTAATTTTATGACGTTTGTTTGCACTAGCCGCTTGCCTTATAAATAGGTTTATTTTCCGGCTGCAAATGCCTTCCATATTGCATGCTGTTTTTGGAACAGGCTACTTAACATTGTTTGTGCAATAATTCAACATCATATCACATCATAATAATGTTAAACTCATTGACAAAACCATAGTTTGAAATTCCCTTGACATATGCTAAACCCTTCAAGCTGTCTGTTTCATATGTAGGCCTAGTTCATTATTGCCTTTTAAGTATTCATGTGTAAAACATCCAATGTAAAATGGACACAGTTGAGTAATTTTTTTCCAGACAGTTATATTTTTTTTTTTATAAGAATAGCTAGATAGCTTACTATTGCCTATTTTTTTAAACCAAATATTTCATCTACTATTTTCCACAACTGTTAAAAAATGATGGGATTATTGCAATTCCTGGTATTTAATGAGATTGACTTTTACTCCTATTATTTTTTATTTAAATGAGTAAAATAAAAACAAAAGGACCCATAATTTTCTCAAAGTAAACAATAGGTAAATCACAAAATTCAGTAGTAAATGTTGGTGTTGAACATGTGCAATATAGCAGTATTTTCTACTTGTTTCCAGTAGAAATATTATTATTTTTTCATATATTAAGAGCAGCCTGAACATGCATGATATTTATACCTGCCAAGCTCATAAAAATCTAATAAAAGTAATATGATGACATTAATTTTACAGTAAATATTTGTTTTTTTTAGATTTAAAAGGCATTTTTTTTTTTTTTGTTTCCATGAAAAATATTATTTCCCGGTTGATTTTCTACTGATGTTGAGCGATAAGGATTTATGTTGCAAGTCGGAAAGAACGTCAAATGTCTGATTTTGTACTAGCATTTGTTAAGCCATTTACAAATGCCATATGTAAAGTGCTGTATTTAGTTAATGATCCTGTCCGTTGCTATTTTGAATTTAGTATGAAAAGTTTACGAGGTAGAATAACAGATTTGACGTTACAATTGTAAATTACTACCTGATACACATTGCACGTATGCTCAATTTATGTATTTGGAATTCTAATGTTATTCAAAATAGGCCAATAAACAGATGCTTTTATGCAATTAACTGGAAATTGTTGTTGTTGTTGTTATTGTTTTTATATTGTTGTTATAAAAAATATTTTAGTTTAATATATTCTCATTCATTGTTACTTGAATCATGTCGAGCTATTATCTGCAAACTGCGATTATAATTATGAGGGTCATTTGGCAAAGCATTAATAATAAAAATTACAATAAATGATGCCCAGGAGACACTAATTTATTTTTAGTTTTAGTTGATTTATTCAACATGAATTAAGTCTTCATTAGATATTCTTCGTTAAATAGTGTTATTTCTATCTAAAATGTCTAATCGAAAAGTGAAATTGGAAAAAGAAATATTTGTATTTCAGAGTAATTTTTTTAAAATTGATAATTATTTGTAAAGCAGTTGCAGAATTATTGTTATTTTTCTCTTTTGTCATGTACATAGAGGTCCTGCAGTTTATGCTTTAAATGACCAACATTGCTGTTATTATTTTACTTTAAAATGTTAAAAAGCATTTCAAATGCTTTCGTGATAAAATTATCAAATATATGCTATTTTTCTTTTTGACAAAGTATGAACTTTATTCTTTTTCATTTAGATATTGACAACATGCAGAATTTTGATAACGTCTTCGTAAAACCTGGGTCATCTGTTTCGGTTAACTGTACGTTTCCAGACAACGAAGCAGGTGGTGTACCGTTACCAGAACCAGTGTGGTTCGGTATTAATGGTTCTCCCTTGACGAATACTGGTAATGTGAAACAAAATGGTAGTTTCCTGATTATTGATAGTGTGACTGAAACAGACTATGGGACGTACCAGTGCACCATGTCGAACATGGCTGGGCAGAAGCAGGCTTCGGTGGACGTTGGAGAAACTAGTAAGTCAAAAGTTCTTTAGTAGATCAAGCAATACCGCCGATACAGGGAATTATGCGATTGAAATTCAATCGCATAATTATGTAAACAATATTTTCATCTACTCATAGTGTGTAATTTTTTGGATTAGGAATCTAACTACATGAAACGCTGGACCCCCACCATAGGCTCTGCCCCTGGAACCCGATGGGTGTCTCAACTGGCCCCCGGCACCCCCATTTTTAGTTCCCACCGGGGTGCTTTGGGGGCCAAAAGACCATTTTCAACAGCCCTGGATCAAGTAGGGTAATTCAAGTCAGTGTCAAGCATGTGAACATCTTTTCAGATGGAACAGAAAACAAAAGTTAATATTTGTAAATCTTGTACCTGGATAAATACGGTACTCAGTAGAAAACAGTAGAAACAAACTAATTTATTATACATTTGCATTTACAAGTCCAAAAAAGTTCTGTATTCTTTAAAGAATAACTCTGTAAACATACATAGGAACCCATGCAAATATACATATATACACATAACCACACCTAAACATGAAGGTATACACATGGAAACATGCGAGTGAATGTACTCTTGGTGTTATATCACCTTAAATATGTGTAATGAATGTAGTTAATTTGTTAAAGCACTTGGTGCCAATGTCCCAATGCTTTTAGCTACCAGGAAACCAATCTATCATAAACTAAGTAACATTGCTAAAAGGGGAAAAAAATAAACAAATGCTATAAACCAATCTTCATTAGACAGTTTTAGGCACAAAGCTAGCTGGTAGATTATGACTTGCAAGTGCTCTATAGCATTTATCATCTAGTACAGTCTACCTTCTACATAGATCGACACCATCATAATATCTATAGCAGATGCAATAGTAAACATGCATAAGCATTCATGTAGTAATTTAGTGTGTTTTTGTGCCATTATAATCTAATCATGCACAATATCGATCATAGATCCCTCTACTTTAGTAGTCTCAACTCATAATAAAAAAACATTCATAGCATAAAAAGATATTCGTCTTATTATGAGCCTAGGTAGTCAAAATGCATACTTAATAGAAGATTTATTATATCATTTTATATAGTGTTCCCCAAGAGCCTCATATTTTCAAGGTTTAATAGAACTATAGTTATCAGTTGTACATGAATACATAGGCTATTATCATAGAAGAATTAGCTTAGGGATGGACTCTTCGCCATTAGTTTATATATTTCAGTATTTTAAAAACATTGATTTTTATAATGCATAAAGAATGTATGTGAAATGGAATGTAACTTAAACTGACATATATAGGGCAGAAATATTTACTACAAAAGGGAATAACATAAATGAAAGTGACTGATTAGAAAGCATAAACATTAATTGTAAGAAACAAACGAGAATCTGTAAACATAAAACTATATATAATTATTAAGAATACATTTTAGCAGCCATTGTGTCAGATCACAATAATTTATAATGTTTTCTACACAACTTAAAATGAGTCTTTACACAATTATTGTCAAGTTGCATTAATTTTAACCACCATCTTTAAATTAAACACAAAGGTAATTCAGAGATTTCCTTCATGCATCCTTAATACATCAGGACTAGGTAACTTCAGTATGAAACCCGATTTATTAATGCCGCACATTTTTTCCCTGTGTGCGATACTATAAAATGTTAGATAGTACTGACTTGTGTTGCCTTTTACGAGCCTTCTTTGAAATTTCACTGTATCCTAAAACCAACCACAAGTATGAAGAACAGGTGCAGAATCCTAGGCGTGCTGTACGGTTATTATATACTGTATAACCACATTGTCATAAAAATGCCCAATATTACCTGTATGGGGTTATACGTCTCTTTGTTCTGTAAGGTTTAGATATTTAGTGATGTGGATGTTAAGGTGTGGAGGTTAACAATGAGGTGATGTTGAGTATTTTGGTTCATAAAATTTCATGCTTGTTCAACAGGGAACGGATTTGCCAAATACTAGATGGAAAATACCTTTATTTAACTACTTGATGATATGCTAATATGGTACACATTTACACTCAATTAATGCTAAAAAGATATTGAAAATTTACATAACCATCACACAACATTATAATTAATAACAGATTTGCACTTGTTCATATATTTCTGGTCAATATGGAAACTTACTGTCAGTCCTTGATGGCTAATAATAAAATAATAATGATGATAGCCAATTACCTTTAAGCTAATACTTTTTACAAAATCAAAGGGTCTTCAATAATTGATGATAATTGTAGAAATGGTGGTGTGATGTTATAAATATTTAAGGTGCCTTCCCTCCAATGCCAAGTTATTGGTTCAATTCCTTTTCTGTTATATGTCATCAATTCTAGTAATACACAGTTCTGTATCATTGATTGTGGTCTCAATTACAGTCTCTGCCTTATTGTATAAGCCTATCGTCTTCCTATATCACTGCAACTCCTCATTATATACTATTCTAGTAAATTATAGCACTGTCATAGAATATGTAAGTAGAATTTTACTGTATTGTATATATTGACTACTGTTTTAAATTTCTTTTTATATGCAGAGACAAATAAATTACCTTCAATTTTGTCTTTTAGCTCAACCAAAGATAACTACCAAGCCACTGGCTCAGGTTAAGAAAGAAGGCAAAGACCTGTATTCTCATTGTATAGCTGAAGGCTCACCAACTCCAACGATTAACTGGCTAAGAAATAGTATCGATGTCACAGAGATACCGGTAAGATGTTGTTGAAATCATAATCAGATAACCTCAAATATTTGATTGCTCATCTAGGATGGTCAAATGTAGAAGTTTAAACTTCAAATGAGATATAGATTTTAAAATATATTTATTTACTTTTTTTATAGACTTATTTACTACAAAAATCCTAAAGTTAATTAACAACAAATTAATTGGTATATGATAAAAGAACATAGGAAAGTTTTTACATATGCTTTATATATGTCTATGTTAATTTGCAAGAATATTTTGTGTCATAAATTTCAATATAAAACTTAAAATAAAATACACTAAATATACTACAGTAATTTACTGTTACTAAGTAAGGAATCCAAGTTTTGAATTTTTTAGGTATCGCAGACATTATACATATATATATATATATATATATTGAAAGTATTGAAAATGTAGAACTTGTAGAACTGGGTATTATCACTCTACAGACTGTTTCATGCTAATGCAATCTTCAGGAGTGAGAGAATACAAGGGTTGTGCGAGTATATGAATGCTAAGACAGGTGAAAATGCAAATGAGTTAATTGTTTTTAAGTAGGTATTTGTTGCTGTGCCTGCATTTAGACAATAGCTCGTTTCTTTTGTTTAGTGTTGACTGTTTGTCTGAATATATTATGTGAAGTTTCTCGGTTATGCATAAGTTGCAGCGTTTTGTTTTTGGGGAGTAAGCCGATGCTCTGTCGATGATAGACCATTTAATGTTGTAGGGTGTGTTGCAACACAAACAAAACAAAAACAAAAGAACCGAGCTATTGTCTAAATGCAGGCACAGCAACAAATACCTACTTAAAAACAATTAACTCATTTGCATTTTCACCTG